AACTCCTACTTTAACTGAAGCATTCAAAAGGTGTAACAAATCAAGAGAACCAGCTGCAAGAAACCTTCACTGAACGTGAAAAACAGAAACGAGAAAAGAAACGACAGCAGCACATCAGAAGCCACTCAAAGATTGTTGACTGTTGGAGTTCAGAAATGAACACTTTTCAACCTGTAGTCAAGCCTGACTGCAGTGAAGCCTATGTTCAGAACGCATCTGGTATACGTAAGGGTACTTCAACAATGTGTGGCATGAGGATACCATTGAAGCAACCGATAGGGACAAATCTGATGTGGTCAAACTTCAAAACAATACCAACGGATGTAGCAAGAACGATTTCTGTTGCAACAGTGCAATTAGCTGGCACCAAGTTCAAGACGACAGCTACATCAGGACCTCAGTGTTTGTTGCAAATTTAAAATGGTCTTGTGAAATCTCTGCAGAAGCAACTGCCACACTTGAAATGATTGATAATTTGTGAATAGAAGTACAGATTCACACCTGATGACTTTAAGGCAGCTATGAGGGCAAATAGACAGAAGAAGATGAAATCTGTCATTAGTCATGTAAAACTTGGAGATGACAATATCGGTGAACACAAAATGGCAAAGACTAATCAGAAGCTTCCTTGCAAGAAATGTAAAGCAGTTAGACATTGACAGTGAATGTGAAGACATTAAGTGTACAAACCAGACCGTACACAAACCTGAAACAGACTCTAAACAACCGTTGTCTCCACCTGCCTCAAGTGACAATGTACCCAGTAAGTCAGTAAGAACTCTTAGTACACCTCCCAGAAGTGGGCGTGTCATTAAACAGAGAGACACTCTGGACTTGTAAATGTGTATTTATAGGTTTATTTACAGCCAGTGGCAGTATCATTGTTGACTTAGTACAAAGTCATGTTTTGAAGAATTATGAATCTGTTTGAGAATGTCTCTCATTAATGTTGACTCCAGTGTAAGCCATGTTATGTATTAATAGACTGGCTATCAGTCACTTGCAGTATTATTTCAGGTTATAAAAAGCAATGTTCAACATTAAATGACTTAGTACAAAATCAGGTCAAACACATGATCTAGGACACCAATGATCTTTTCAGGGTGAGATACCGTACATCTTTTGAGGTGACTGCTGAACTCAAGCTCGTCTCAGTGCGTCCTCGAGAACAGGATATAAGGAGGATGTTGTCTCCACCTAGAGGTGCTTGTGCTGACAATTGGCTGACAGTCAAACCCTGTTCCACAAAACAAGAACTGTCCAAGGAGAAAGCTGCAGACCTTAGATCTATGTTGAAGTTCATGACTCCAACACATAGACTTTGTATGAGTGGCTTGATCTCATCAGATAAACTCATTCAAGAACATGTTTGATGTTCATGGTTCAGGGACATCAATATGTGTCTGACGTGAGTGGCTTGATCTCATCAGATAAACTCATTCAAGAACATGTTTGATGTTCATGGTTCAGGGACATCAATATGTGTCTGACGTGAGTGGCTTGATCTCATCAGATAAACTCATTCAAGAACATGTTTGATGTTCATGGTTCAGGGACATCAATATGTGTCTGACGTGAGTGGCTTGATCTCATCAGATAAACTCATTCAAGAACATGTTTGATGTTCATGGTTCAGGGACATCAATATGTGTCTGACGTGAGTGGCTTGATCTCATCAGATAAACTCATTCAAGAACATGTTTGATGTTCATGGTTCAGGGACATCAATATGTGTCTGACGTGAGTGGCTTGATCTCATCAGATAAACTCATTCAAGAACATGTTTGATGTTCATGGTTCAGGGACATCAATATGTGTCTGACGTGAGTGGCTTGATCTCATCAGATAAACTCATTCAAGAACATGTTTGATGTTCATGGTTCATGGTTCATGCAACCTATGATGTCTGACAGTTTGATGACAGAAGTTAATTGACAATGATAACTGTTAAGGGTGAAGCTTGATTGATATCATGAAATTTTTTTGGGTTATTTTCAGGAGCAGTTCTAAAAAACCTGCCAGCTACCACAACTGCTGAAATAGAGTCAGTCATGAAGGACTGGCTCCAGTATGCCAACGATCGGAAAGGGGAGCGGAATGACAGACGAAAGACCTAAGAGAAGGATTAATATTTTCTCGAGAAATACAATACTGTTCAAATAACAAAAATTAAAGAAGAATTAAATAGTTCACTTGATTACCTAGTTTTGTTGTTTATACATGTTTCTGATTGCAGAGGTCAGGAAAGATCTAAATGCTGAAACACAGTGGTGCCAACATAAGGCCAACTAAATCATTTCATTGGGCCCAGTGTGGGCCATGGTTTAGTGTGAATTTCCATCCATTTGCCCAACAATGAGCCAACAATGAGCCAACATGATGGACCACTGTGAACCATATGAGCATATCCAAGTGGGCCCATCGTCAGTTTATGCCATGGCCCAACCAAACCGGTGATTATGGGCCAACTATGGGCCAACGTATCATTCCTACCTGGGGTAGAGCTGAGCCTCTACACTGACCATCCGTTAAAAATATATGGTCTAATGGAGGGCTGACAGGCACTGGTGTCCTACATTTGGCCTAGGAGTAATGTGGAAAATAAAACCCGAGTCTTCTGTGTAATGAGCGAACGCTTTAACCACTAGGCTACTCCACACACACACCCCACCATCCACACATACACCCTACCACCCACCCACCCACACACACACACACACACACACACACACATGTATCTAGCATTTTTCAACTTGGGTGTTCTACATCCAGAGTCAGTGATGGCTTGTTATATTTTGTAATTACCCTTGCAATTATCACAGATAGAGAAGAGAGGGTAGAAGCCTTGATTTGTTGTGCTGCGTTGATGCACAAACAAAGCATACTGCTCATCCTGGTTTACTATTGGGGTAGGGAGGCCTGGTAGTTTCATAAAAACAGTATCTGTTCCCCAAAATACTGTTAGAAATGATAGTTCTGAGGTTCTGACAGACGAAATCAGTTGTTTGAAGGACACTCAGGGGGTTCTGTGTCGGGGATCCAAACAAGCACCTGACTCTTTACTTCAGAGAGAAACTGTACATCTTGATGCACTGACTGAGAAGATATTCCATCAGAAACACAAACCCCCTGGACTTCAAGGATCTGTCCCTTAGGGTGACCCACTGTTCATTACACATCTTACTTCAAACAATTCCTCGTATCTTGTAAGTTATTCTCTATATCCCTTTATATCCCCTTCAGTCGGAGACATCCCTGTATCAATCTATCCACACGGGTCCTTCAGTCGGAGACATCCCTGTATCAATCTATCCACACGGGTCCTTCAGTAGGAGACACCCCTGTATCAATCTATCTACACGGGTCCTTCAGTAGGAGACACCCCTGTATCAATCTATCCACACGGGTCCTTCAGTCGGAGACATCCCTGTATCAATCTATCCACACAGGTCCTTCAGTCGGAGACATCCCTGTATCAATCTATCCACACGGGTCCTTCAGTAGGAGACATCCCTGTATCAATCTATCCACACGGGTCCTTCAGTAGGAGACATCCCTGTATCAATCTATCCACACGGGTCCTTCAGTAGGAGACACCCCTGTATCAATCTATCTACACGGGTCCTTCAGTCGGAGACATCCCTGTATCAATCTATCTACACGGGTCCTTCAGTAGGAGACACCCCTGTATCAATCTATCCACACGGGTCCTTCAGTAGGAGACACCCCTGTATCAATCTATCCACACGGGTCCTTCAAAAGGATACATACAGACTGTCTTGTGTAATAATCTTTATCACAAGTACAAAGCAAACGCTTGTATAGCAATAAATAATAAGTAACAGCACATATTCAGTGTTCACGTTAACGCAAAACCCTGCGTGTTTCAAGTAAATAAATCTGCATTTCACGCACAATATTTTCTACCAGCGTGTTCTGCATGCAAAGCATTGTGTGTTCTGAAAACAAGTAACTGTAATCATATTTTCCCCAAGGAAACCACAAAACAAAATAAAGTTTCTCCCAGCTAATTTGACTTGCGAATGATGACAACATGCTCTGAAATGCAAGAACATGACGTCTAAATTTCAAAATTTTACGAGAGACATCGCCGCTTTCTAGGCCGAGCATACACCTGCGGTGCATGCACATGCAAGATAATTAGGGCTAAGTGTTTTAAGATCGCAAAGCTTTTTTTCCCACTGCGGACACTGCATATATTCATATCCTGGACCCAGTTGTATTCTTAGCCTCATTTTGAATCCATACTCAGAAAGTGATGCTACATTTGCTATCCAGTCAAATTATAGTCTTGAACAAAATGACTGACTGACTGAGTTTAGTTTTACGCCGCTTTTAGCAATATTCCAGCAATATCACGTCGGGGGACACCAGAAATGGGCTTCACACATTGTGCCCATGTGGGGAATCGAACCCAGGTCTTCGGCGTGACGAGCCAACGCTTTAACCACTAGGCTACCCCACCGCCCTGAGTCCATGGTATATAAGATAAGATGGAAAGATAAGACCCTGGACGGGGGAGGATGATCCACTTGTTGACAAACTGTGGCACCGTGATATCAGCTATGAGGAGGTGAACAAGGAATGACATCAACATCTCTAATCAATAAAAGCCTTCACTGAAGTTAAAAACAAATAAAACTTGATGTTTCTACAGACACAGATTTCAACCAGTCGCAGAAATTAAAAATTTCATGATGTCCTACCTTCTTGTGTAAATCATCTACAAATGTTTGCTAAGAATTCTAGTGCTCTAGGGACAGTTTTCTCGCGAGATATGTTTAGAGAATTATACCAACAAGTCGTCACACTCTGAACACCATGGAGTACATATTTAGATTTTTGCAATGAAACGTATAACCAACTCATTAACAGAGTATGCAAAATGTCAGTAGACAGACTGTGACTGCCGTCATTTTAGCAGCTGTATCACATGCCTTAGACCTTATCCAGTCAACTTTCTGTGGCAATAGACCTTATCCAGTCAACTTTCTGTGGCAATAGACCTTATCCAGTCAACTTTCTGTGCCTATAGACCTTATCCAGCCAACTCTCTGTAGCTTTAGACCTTATCCAGAGAACTTTCTGTCGCTATAGACCTTATCCAGTCAACTTTCTGTGGCTATAGACCTTATCCAGTCAACTTTCTGTAGCTATAGACCTTATCCAGTCAACTTTCTGTAGCTTTAGACCTTATCCAGTCAACTTTCTGTGGCAATAGACCTTATCCAGTCAACTTTCTGTAGCTATAGACCTTGTCCAGACAACTTTCTGTAGCTATAGACCTTGTCCAGACAACTTTCTGTGGCTATAGACCTTATCCAGTCAACTTTCTGTGGCTATAGACCTTATCCAGTCAACTTTCTGTAGCTATAGACCTTGTCCAGACAACTTTCTGTAGCTTTAGACCTTATCCAGTCAACTTTCTGTAGCTTTAGACCTTATCCAGTCAACTTTCTGTGCCTATAGACCTTATCCAGCCAACTCTCTGTAGCTATAGACCTTGTCCAGACAACTTTCTGTGGCTATAGACCTTATCCAGTCAACTTTCTGTGGCTATAGACCTTATCCAGTCAACTTTCTGTAGCTATAGACCTTGTCCAGACAACTTTCTGTAGCTTTAGACCTTATCCAGTCAACTTTCTGTAGCTTTAGACCTTATCCAGTCAACTTTCTGTGGCTATAGACCTTATCCAGTCAACTTTCTGTAGCTATAGACCTTGTCCAGACAACTTTCTGTAGCTTTAGACCTTATCCAGTCAACTTTCTGAAGCTTTAGACCTTATCCAGTCAATTTTCTGTGGCTATAGACCTTATCCAGTCAACTTTCTGTAGCTATAGACCTTGTCCAGACAACTTTCTGTAGCTTTAGACCTTATCCAATCAACTTTCTGTGGCAATAGACCTTATCCAGTCAACTTTCTGTGGCTATAGACCTTGTCCAGACAACTTTCTGTAGCTATAGACCTTGTCCAGACAACTTTCTGTGGCTATAGACCTTATCCAGTCAACTTTCTGTGGCTATAGACCTTATCCAGTCAACTTTCTGTAGCTATAGACCTTGTCCAGACAACTTTCTGTAGCTTTAGACCTTATCCAGTCAACTTTCTGTAGCTTTAGACCTTATCCAGTCAACTTTCTGTGCCTATAGACCTTATCCAGCCAACTCTCTGTAGCTATAGACCTTGTCCAGACAACTTTCTGTGGCTATAGACCTTATCCAGTCAACTTTCTGTGGCTATAGACCTTATCCAGTCAACTTTCTGTAGCTATAGACCTTGTCCAGACAACTTTCTGTAGCTTTAGACCTTATCCAGTCAACTTTCTGTAGCTTTAGACCTTATCCAGTCAACTTTCTGTGGGAATAGACCTTATCCAGTCAACTTTCTGTAGCTATAGACCTTGTCCAGACAACTTTCTGTAGCTATAGACCTTGTCCAGACAACTTTCTGTGGCTATAGACCTTATCCAGTCAACTTTCTGTGGCTATAGACCTTATTCAGTCAACTTTCTGTAGCTATAGACCTTGTCCAGACAACTTTCTGTAGCTTTAGACCTTATCCAGTCAACTTTCTGTAGCTTTAGACCTTATCCAGTCAACTTTCTGTGGCTATAGACCTTATCCAGTCAACTTTCTGTAGCCTTAGTTATTTTGCTAGAAAACTGCCTGCAGTTGGTAAAGGGTGGATAGCTTTCTAATATAAATATGAGTTCATCTGAAAGTGTGACAGTAATAACATCAAATCAAGTTGAAAGGAAACCTGCAACAAACATACACTCCCAATCAGCTGCTGCTTTCCACTGATTCATCTTGATCCATGGGGCTGTCATCTTTATTCCTGAAAGTATAAATATTTTCTCCAATATATTAAATATAGAAATATATATGGGTCATTTTCAAAATTGGTAGGATTTTCTGTCCGTTCCAAATATAAAAAAAATCTGTTAACTTAAAAGGATTTTTTTGTGCTAGAAAACATATTTGGAAGTTTACTAGTCAGTAAAAGTGGTATATCATTAGTCTTGTCATTTTGAAATTTATATTTAGCCACATTTTAGGGTCAAAACTGGCCAATTTGCTCTGTCCGGAGGTGACGGTCCTAATATCAATGTTCACAAATAATGTAAATATAAATGCAAATAAACAAACTAATTCATATTATGCCAGTTACCATTGAACAGGCATACTCAAACTGCATTTAATTTTTTTTTAACTTAAAAAGTTTTTTTCTACAAATTGTAACATGCTTGTCCTGTCATTTTGTGTCCTGACCGTTACCAGTGTATGAAATTCCTGCAATAATTTCCCCCTGGAGCTGGATTGTAATACTACTTCCTGTGTGTGCTTGAGCTAGCCCCTGTGCATGTGACAGCAAATGAAATAATGAAATTCAACACATTTTGCAGAAAATTGACACCATCAAATAAGTATAAATGTTATGTGTCAACCTTAATTGTCCAGACCGTTACCAATGTATTTTGTGTCAAATATATCTCTTTGTTTTTTTACATTTCAATGGATATGTTGCCCAGAAATGGAAGAGGTGGAAGGCATGTCCTTTGAAATCTTTTAGGGAGCATTCATTTTTATATTTTAGATTTACTTACAAATTGTCTTGACTGCTACTGTCCAAACCGCTACCACTCTGCAAAGTAATGGTTTGGACAGTCCTTGTAACGGTCTGGACAAAATGATTTGTATTTCAAAAAGTTTTTCATTACTATTTGAAATATAACAAATTTATAATTACTTTAAGGGTTAAGATAAGTTTAAGCATGGAATTTTTCTGTTCAAAGGAGTTTTGATGTAGTATCATAAAAAACACAGTCTCTAGTAACGGTTTGGACAAATAATAGTAACGGTCTGGACATATCTTTAATAAATTTCAATTTTAAAGAATATGTTCCATGGTGTGATAATAATTTTTTTATTTACTTATCTATCTGCTTTAAATAATAAAAACCAAAACGAATTTATCACGTTAAGTTTCTATTTTCTATAAGATCTATAGTCTTTATAAATTAAAGGTAACGGTTAGGACATCTATGGTAACAGTATTCCAACCTTTAAAGATTTTTTGGGTGGAAACTGTTTTAACTTTAACTGTGAGATATGTAAGGCTACCATTTACTTTGAATATTTGCTAGGTGCTAATATGTTGGCCAAACCTTTGTATTTGATAAATATATGTTACCGTCTCACAATTAACAAAAAGTAAAGGTATCCGAGTGAATGAAAGAGGTATATTTCGTGGAGACTAATATTGCACCATAATATCATAATATAATGACATCTATTCAGTGGCCTGTGTAGCATGACCATGCGTACAGTATCATAGTTGTTGCAGTACCTTTCAGAATTTAATCTTTTGCAACTTTTAGAGGGATAACATTTGTTTGTTACACTGATGTCCTGACCGTTACCAATAAAGTCACAACCGTTACTATTCATTCAATTTTTGTTCCTCAATTGTACTCTTCTTTAGATTATAAGTGACTTCAACCTAGACAGGTGTGTTTTTCTATTCTTTAGAAGCTACAGTTTGTTTTTACTCAAAAGCCTAAATTTCTTCACAAGTTTCATATTGATATAACAAATGTCCAAACCGTTACCACAGCATGGAAGAAAACATGTCACATTTGTTACAAGTTAAAATTTCTAATACACATTTCACTGTCTGTCCAAAATAGGGTTAGCAGTTGAAGTAAATAATATAATTTTTTCCTTTCATGTTACCTGTTTCTATGTTGAATTAAATTGTTTAAGGTTTATGTCCAGCCCGTTACCATTCCTGTCCAAACCGTTACCACTATTTGTCCTAACCGCTACTGGTGTTAATTGACTGCTCTAATTAATTCATGATAATACATGAAACACTCCTCTTTATGCTGGTGTCATCAAAAGATGTGCTGGGCTTAGTAGCTGATGTGATTTTTAGACAATATTACCTGCGGAAAGCTAAATGCATAATAATCTTTTAGGAAAATGCAATTATTTTGTGGTAAATAAATGAAAGATACAAAATGATACTTTCAAAAATAATGATAATAGTTTTTACCTTCAAGTTTGATTAAGTCGGTGTAAAAGCTGTGTATGCCACCTTTAAAAGATTTTTATGAATTATATTTTTAAATCCTTATTCTGATTAAGAAGTGGTAACGGTCAGGACTTTCCCTCATCCTATTAATTACTTATGTATCAATTAAAAGGCCAATTAGTAAATTTGAGCCTGCATGTTTGTATTATTGAATAATTAAATATTTGAGATTTCATTTGAATAAAACCTAAATCAATTTTCATGTGATTGATTTTACTGTAATAAAGAATTGAAAATCCTACCAATTTTGAAAATGACCCATATATCTAAAGAACAATGTAATTTTTCAAGTAAAATTGATATTTTTATACTTATCCTGACTCATGATCATTTGATTATCTCCCTTTCCCTTTTCGAATGGTAGTGGAACGCTTGAATCCCTTGAAGTTCCTGAAGCGGACGTAAATATACACTCACCCACGTGTTACCTCCCTTTTGCCCTTTCCTGCGCAAACAGTCATGTGACCAGCCTTACTTGTCAATCTCTCCTGAATTTTTGCCCATGCACTTGGATCTGCTGTGAAATCCAAAGTGTCTCCAGCGGGAAAGTTGGGAGGGCTTCTCGTCATGAGTCAGGATAAGTATAAAAAATATCAATTTTACTTGAAATTTTACTTTCTAAAATTATATATTTTTTCTTATCCTGACTCATGATCTTTTGCTTATAGAATCTGACAGATTGGTGGTGGGTCAAGCCACTTCGTGGATTCATCAGCTGTCCTCAGATACGTCCTGTATCCCCCCCATGGGAACTGCGAAATGGCATTTCCGTGATCCTATTCTTCCAACTTCCGTTATAACTCGGGGGGACCACTTTCTTGTCTTACTTCAGTCTCAGACAAGTTGAATCATGTTGATTCATGTGGCTACAGATAAACTAGTATCTTCTTATTACGGGATATCTTATAACAACCCATAGATTATGATAAGATCTGCATCATAAATGAGTTGCGACCCCTTCACGTACAGGTAAGATCTTTACTCGTACAGGATCTTTAATCACTCATGCTAGCCTGTCCTAGACTGTGCGCATGGACTTTCAAACTAATACTTTTCCTTAGTAACAGTTATCAACAAGTCAACGTGATAAAGGGTGAGATTTTCCAACTCAGCGTCTTTGAGGAACCGTTAGTTGCTGTGCTACAACGAGAGGCCCAAATTGGTAAATGCCTGAGACGTCTTCAGTGGTTATGTCTCAGAGGTAGTGGTTGGCAAACACTGTGTCCGACTTCGAAAAGCAGCCTTCCATATTTGCTGGTATAGAGCAATTTCCGTGCAGAGCTAGTGTTGATGCCAGTGCTCTGACTTCGTGTGGGTTGGAAGCTCTAGGAGGTTCTAGTCCTGCTGCATTATAGGCTCTCAATATGACGGCTCTCATCCAGAACGATATGGTCGTTCTTGATACTTCTGCTGATGTCTCTGTTGATAATGGGATGAACAGGCTCTTGAATTTTTGTCTCCTTGTCTCAGTCTTTTGAACATATATCTTCAGGGCTCTGACCGGACACAAGGATAGGTCTTCTATATCCTGTTGGCCGAGGATTGTAGATAGCGCTGGTATGTGGAACTGTCTATCTGGCTAATCAGGTAGTTGGTTCTTGGCAATGAAGTCCCATCTAAGTCCTAGATGAACAGCAGCATGTTGCCCCTTGTCAAATCTGGTTCGACCAAAGTCCAGCACATGTATCTCTGATATTCGAGCTGCCGTGGCTAGCGTAAGCAGGAACAGAGTCTTCTGTGTCAGCAGCTCGAGGGTAGTCCGGTCTAGAGGTTCGTAGGCATCACTCGTAAGATGACGTAGAATTACATTCAGATCCCAGGCCGGAGCTCTGAACTTCCTTTGCTGGTCCTCCAGAGTAAAAGATCTCAGAAAAGCAAGTAATTCTGGTACTATCATCAACTTGATGCCTGTTTTCATGGTAATCACTGTACTGATGGCGGCAAGGTATGTAGATAATGTCAAACCTTTCAGATGTCTGGTCTGTCTAAGATGACACAGGTATTCCGCCACTTGAGAATGAGTAGCATTCACTGCAGTGAAGCATTTCCGTCTTGCATAAGTCTCAAACTTCAGCCACTTGTCATCATACAGGTTACGAGTAGATCTGCGTAACGCTAGCGTTACTGCCTTGGCTGCCCTGGCGGAGTATCCTCTTTTCTTCAAACATGTTTTGATACGGTCCACACGTGTAGCTGGAACACTGTCGGGATCCTGTGGACTTGCTTGGTATGCGGATGTATGAGTAGGTTCGGCCATTCTGGTAACTTGATTGTTTGACTTCCGAGATGGCCAGTATGGCGCGACCAAAGTCAGTTGTAGCGCTGTGTCTGTTTGATCTCCAACAGTACTTCCGGTAGTAATATCGGGGTTGGAAACGCGTAAGCGTTTAGTCCTTCCCAAGATATGCTCAGTGCATCTGTTGCCCAGGCTTGAGGATCTGGAACTGGTGAGACAAACGTCTGTAGTTGTTTGTTGAACCTCGTGGCAAACAGGTCTATGCAAGGGGATCCTATTTCCCTTATGATGAGCCGAAACGCTTCTGGATAGAGCATCCATTCCGTAGGTGACGGGTGCAGTGGTCGGGAGAGAGTGCCTGCAAGTACGTTCACATGTTTGCTTCCTCCGTGATGTGGAACAACTGGAATGTGAGCTGTAGCAGGCTTGGAGACCTTGTGGATCCTTGCCGATTTATGGAGAATGCCACTGTAGAGTTGTCCATATGGACCATCAGCATTTTGTTGTTCAGCGAGCTCGACCATAGTCGTAATCACGGCTTTCATCTCCAGCAGATCGATGTGAAGATGCTGCTCTATTTTGGACCCCCTTCCTGATGCAACTTGATTGTTGACATGCGCACCCCAGCCTTGTATTGAAGTGTCTACGTAGAGATGTGTGCCGAAAGCCGGCTCTTGTAAATAGGTCCCTCCGTAAACGTTCCACCTGTGCGTCCACCACAGTAGATACCTCTTGAGGTTGTCTGGCAGCAAGATAGGGTCGACGCTGTCTAGATGTTTTGTCAGGAACCGTTGCAGCGGTCCTAGCTGTAACCTTCCTGTGCGAGTCAAGTCCTGCGCCGAGATTAGTAGACTGAGTAGAACTTGCCATGATCGTAGTGTAAACGGAGAGATGACTGCTGGTGGAATCATGGCTTGTATCTTGACCCAACGATCTTCTGGGATGACAATACGATTCTGTGTTGTGATGAACCTTATCCCGAGAAATTGCAGATCTTGTTTTGGTTCCAACTCTGACTTCATAAGGTTCACCAGCCATCCTAGTTGAGTGAGCAGCCTGATCGTGAAGTTCAGCTGTAGTCTGAGTTGACTGGCATCTTGGTGAACCTGAATTCCGTTGTCTCCAAGTAGAAGGCATTGCGTAGACCTTGATGATGTAGATATGCAACTATAGGCTTGGTTACTCGAGTGAATAGCCACGGAGCCGAAGATATTCCAAATGGTAGGACGTTCCTTTGGAAGTGCTGCCCTCTGAATAGGAATCGTAGATACTTTCTTGATTCCGGACGTATGGGGATGTGTAGATAAGCATCCTGCAGGTCTATGCTGGCCATGTAATCTGCTGGACAGACAAGTAGTCTGAGTTGAGGTAGGTGGATCATTCTGAACCCCTCTGGTTTCAGTAGATAGTCTTTGTTGAATTTGCGCATGTTGTAAATCAGTCTGACCTTCTCCTTGGAGTTCTTCTTGGGTACTAGAAAAATTGGGGAGTAGAAGCCTGGCGTGAGATGATGCTGATCTATTATCTCTACTGCCTCCTTCACAAGTAGTGAGTTGATGGCTTCTAGTAGTTTGTCTGCCTGTTCCTCTGCATAGTCATGGTTTTATGCACGAAGGGCATTGGGGGTGAGGATCAGCCACGGATAACCTGTGCCTGCAAACACTGCAAGATTTCATGAAATGTAAACAAAGTTACATAACGATGAAATTATGACACAAATACAAATAATATTTACAGATCATTTACATATAATAAAATAGTTATTGCCAAATCCATATACAGCGTAATTTTGAAGAATAGGAATTAAAAATAAAAAGGATATAATGCCGTATAAGGGGCTACAGTGCTCGCCCAACCATCCGCTTGGGTGAAAAGGGAGAGAGTGAAAGTAAGGCTGGTCACATGACTGTTTGCACGGGAAAAGGGCAAAAGGGAGGTAACTCGTGGGTGGGAATATTTTTACGTCCGATTCGGGAACTTCAAGGGATTCAAGTGTTCCACTACCATTCGCAAGGGAAAGGGAGATAAGCAAAAGATCATGAGTCAGGATAAGTAAAAATATATAATTTTAGAAAGAAACAGACCTTTGGGAATAATGAATTAGTATTCAGCCACAACAAGATGGATGATTGTCTAACTGTGGTGCTCTTATACTTAACCTATCAACTCAACAATTGATTGAGATACAAGAATTATTTATCATGTCATAAATGTACTGGATAAATATAATGACAACACTTCCAAACAAACGGTCTCGTCCAACCCCAAACTGGACACACAGAAATATCCTTATCTAAAGTTGTGTGGTACATTTCTCCGAGATGATTTCTATGAACTCTTACTTGTCGTCTGCCAGTTTCTGCTTCAGTGATTTCAGGATGATGTCTTTGTGCTCAGTCTGCATGTGACGGATCAACGTCGCTTCCTTCGCGTATTGTCGACGACAGTGACCGCAGGATAACATGCTCTCTTGGCTGTGTATTGCCCGAATATGACGTTTTAAATCACCTACAACAGAAAAAGGTTGCTTTCTGACATAAATGTGACGTATGCTCTGCAAATGTACAACTTCAAATCAAATCCACCCTGTCAAAGCTGCCTCAAGTCCTTCAGCTTGTTGCAAGACCCTACTGATGAGGTTTAGATGTGTAACGGCACGAGTTAAGAGTGAAGACTTTAAGTCACATCGGCAATATTTCAGCCATATCGTGTAACAGTATGATGATACATATCTCTAATAATATGGGTGCAATACAGGAGATTGTGTAAGTGATTGGAAGCTCAATCTCCTATACAAGAGTTGTACATCAACCTCATTTATTGTACAAACAACTCATCCCCAATCTACTGTAATAACAAGTGTTTGCCACTGATTATGGCAATGTCCCCGCCGCTAAAGAATGGAATATCTATATTTACTACTTTTTATTTTTGGGTCACATACAAGATGCCTGAAATGACTGGTGTCTGCATAATCACCTGATGTAGGCTGTCAACATACTTGATAACATTGGGCGCAATGTTTTATGAGATATCGCCTTTAAAAAGCGGTCAAAGTATTGTGGTGACCATGAAAATAAGGTCAAGGTCACCAAAACAAACTGGTGTCTGCATAATCCCCTAATGTTGGCTGTCACCAAATTTGAAGACATTGGGTACAACAGTGCATGAGATATCGCGTTAACAAGAGTTTGAAAAGTGGTCAAAGTGTCATGGTGACCTTGAAAATAAGGTCAAGGTCACCCAAATCGACTGGTGTCTGCGTAATCCCCCAATGTAGGCTGTCACCAAATTTGAAGACATTGGGTACAACATTTCATGAGATATTGCGTTAACAAGAGTTTGAAAAGTGGTCAAAGTGTCATGGAGACCTTGAAAATAAGGTCAAGGTCAAGGTCACCCAAATCGACTGGTGTCTGCGTAATCCCCCAATGTAGGCTGTCACCAAATTTGAAGACATTGGGTACAACATTTCATGAGATATCGCGTTAACAAGAGTTTGAAAAGTGGTCAAAGTGTCGTGGTGACCTTGAAAATAAGGTCAAGGTCACCCAAATCGACTGGTGTCTGCGTAATCCCCCAATGTAGGCTGTCACCAAATTTGAAGACATTGGGTACAACATTTCATGAGATATCGCGTTAACAAGAGTTTGAAAAGTGGTCAAAGTGTCGTGGTGACCTTGAAAATAAGGTCAAGGTCACCCAAATCGACTGATGTCTGAAGTAATCTCCCAATGTAGGCTGTCACCAAATTTGAAGACATTGGGTACAACAGTTCATCAGATATCGCGTTAACAAGAATCGGACGTACGGACGGACGGACGTCGCTGAATACACAGTCCCCCGTTCCGCGTTGCGGCGGGGGACAACAAGTCATGTATATATTCTCTCTAGACTATTTGTTTCTCATCACTTGCTTGACAACGACATTAAAATCTATGTCGAAATGTCGCCCTTCACAGAATAAAAGCAGTTGTATTCATATAAATTGTAATCATTCTTCATCAACTCAACTTCTAGAATGCCCATCAAAGAAATTAAGGTAAAGGTATGTGTCAAGGTAGGTTTAGGTGAGGGTGTGCATGAAGGTAGGTTTAGGTGAGGGTGTGTGTGAAGGTAGATTTAGGTGAGGGTGTGTGTGAAGGTGGTTTAGGTGAGGGTGTGTGTGAAGGTAGGTTTAGGTGAGGGTATGTGTGAAGGTAGGTTTAGGTGAGGGTATGTGTGAAGGTAGGTTTAGGTGAGGGTATGTGTGAAGGTAGGTTTAGGTGAGGGTATGTGTGAAGGTAGATTTAGGTGAGGGTGTGTGTGAAGGTAGGTTTAGGTGAGGGTATGTGTGAGGTGGTTTAGGTGTGAGGGGTATGTGTCAAGGTAGGTTTAGGTGAGGGTATGTGTGAAGGTAGGTTTAGGTGAGGGGTATGTGTGTCAAGGTAGGTTTAGGTGAGGGTATGTGTCAAGGTAGGTTTAGGTGAGGGTATGTGTCAAGGTAGGTTTAGGTGAGGGTATGTGTGAAGGTAGGTTTAGGTGAGGGTATGTGTGAAGGTAGATTTAGGTGAGGGTGTGTGTGAAGGTAGGTTTAGGTGAGGGGTATGTGTGAAGGGTGGTTTAGGTGAGGGGTATGTGTGAAGGTAGGTTTAGGTGAGGGTGTGTGTGTGAAGGTAGATTTAGGTGAGGGTGATGTGTGAAGGTAGGTTTAGGTGAGGGTGTGTGTGAAGGTAGGTTTAGGTGAGGGTGTGTGTGAAGGTAGGTTTAGGTGAGGGTATGTGTGAAGGTGGTTTAGGTGAGGGTATGTGTGAAGGTAGGTTTAGGTGAGGGTGTGTGTGTGAAGGTAGATTTAGGTGAGGGTATGTGTGAAGAAGGTAGGTTTAGGTGAGGGTGTGTGTGAAGGTAGATTTAGGTGAGGGTGTGTGTGAAGGTAGGTTTAGGTGAGGGTGTGTGTGAAGGTAGGTTTAGGTGAGGGTGTGTGTGAAGGTAGGTTTAGGTGAGGGTGTGTGTGAAGGTATGTTTAGGTGAGGGTGTGTGTGAAGGTAGTAGGTTTAGGTGAGGGTGTGTGTGAAGGTAGATTTAGGTGAGGGGTATGTGTGAAAGGTAGGTTTAGGTGAGGGTGTGTGTGAAGGTAGATTTAGGTGAGGGTGTGTGTGAAAGGTAGGTTAGGTGAGGGGTGTGTGAAAGGTAGGTTAGGTGAGGGTGTGTGTGAAAGGTAGGTTTAGGTGAGGGGTGTGTGTGAAGGTAGATTTAGGTGAGGGGTGTGTGAAAGGTAGATTTAGGTGAGGTGTGTGTGTGAAGGTAGATTTAGGTGAGGGTGTGTGTGAAGGTAGGTTTAAGTGAGGGTGTGTGTGAAAGGTGGAATTTAGGTGAGGGGTATGTGTGAAGTGTAGGTTAGGTGAGGGTATGTGTGAAGGTAGGTTTAGGTGAGGTATGTGTGAAGGTAGGTTTAGGTGAGGGTATGTGTGAAGAGTAGAGTTTAGGTGAGGTATGTGTGAAAGGTAGGTTTAGGTGAGGTGTGTGTGAAGGTAGGTTTAGAGTGAGGGTGTGTGAGAAGGTAGGAATTTAGAGTGAGAATATATGTGTGAAAGGTAGGTTTAGGTGAGGTGTGTGTGTGTGAAGGTAGGTTTAGGTGAGTGTGTGTGTTTAGGTGAGAGGTTTAGGTGAGGTGTGTGTGTGAGGAGGTAGAGTGAGAGTTTAGGTGAGGGTGTGTGTGTGAAAGGTAGGTTTAGATGACAGTGTGTGTGTAAAAGAGGTAGGTTTAGAGTGAGGTGTGTGTGTGAGAAATTAGAGTTAAGGTGAGGATGTGTGTGAAGGTAGGTTTAGGTGAGGATGTGTGTGAAAGGTAGAGTTTAGGTTAGAGGTGTGTGTGAAAGAAAGAGTTTAGAGTGAGTGTGTGTGTGAAAGGTATGTTTTAGGTGAGGTTTAGGTGAGGGTGTATGTGAAGAAGGAGGAAGATTTAGAGTGAGGTGTGTGTGAAAGGTATGTTTAGGTGAGGGTGTGTGTGTGAAAGGTAGGTTTAGGTGAGGGTGTGTGTAGGGTGAGGTGAGGTTTAGGTGAGGGTGTGTGTGAAGAAGGTAGAGTTTAGATGACAGTGTGTGCATAAAAGAGTAGGTTTAGGTGAGGGTGTGTGTGTGAGGGTTAGAGTTAAAAGGTGAGGATGTGTGTGAAGGTAGAGTTTAGGGTTTAGGTTAGTGTGTGTGTGAAAGTAGATTTAGGTGAGGAGGATATGTATGAGAAGGTAGGTTTAGAGTTAGGTTAGGTTTAGGTGAGGTGTATGTGAAGAGTAGATTTAAGGTGAGGGTGTGTGTGAAGGTAGGTTTAGGTGAGGATGTGTGTGTGAAGGTATGTTTAGGTGAGGGGTGTGTGTGAAAGGTAGATTTAGGTGAGGTGATGTGTGTGAAAAGGTAGGTTTAGGTGAGGATGTGTGTGAAGGTATGTTTAGGTGAGGGTGTGTGTGAAGGTATGTTTAGGTGAGGATGTGTGTGAAGGTAGGTTTAGGTGAGGATGTGTGTGAAGGTATGTTTAGGTGAGGATGTGTGTGAAGGTATGTTTAGGTGAGGGGTGTGTGTGAAAGGTATGTTTAAGGTGAGGATGTGTGTAGAAGAAAGTATATTTAGGTGAGGGTGTGTGAAAGGTATAGGTTAGGTGAGGTGTGTGTGTGAAGGTATGTTTAGGTGAGGGTGTGTGTGAGGTAGGTAGATTTAGGTGAGGGTGTGTGAAGGTATGTTTAGGTGAGGGTGTGTGTGAGAAGGTAGGTTTAGGTGAGGATGTGTGTGTGAAGGTATGTTTAGGTGAGGATGTGTGTGAAGGTATGTTTAGGTGAGGGGTGTGTGTGTGTGAAAGGTAGGTTTAGGTGAGGATGTGTGTGAAAGGTATGTTTAAGGTAGGGTTTAGGTGAGGGGTGTGCATGAAAAGATAGGTTTAGGTGAGGGTGTGTGTGAAGGTATGTTTAGAGGGTGAAGGTTTAGGTGAGGGTGTGTGTGAGGGTAGGTTTAGGTGAGGATGTGCATAAAGATAGGTTTAGGTAAGGGTGTGTGTGAGGAAGGTGGGTTAAGGTGTGAGGGTGTGTGTGAAGAAGGTAGGTTAGAGGCAGGTTTAGGTGAGGGTGTGTGTGAGAAAGGTAGGTTTAGGTGAGGGTGTGTGTGAGGGAGTAGGTTAAGGTGAGGTGTGTGTGAAGGTAGGTTAAGAGGCAGGTTTAGAGTGAGGGTGTGTGTGAAGGTAGGTTAAGGTTAGGGTGTGTGTGAAGGTAGGTTGAGGCAGGTTTAGGTGAGGGTGTGTGTGAAGGTAGGTTAAGGTTAGGGTGTGTGTGAAGGTAGGTTGAGGCAGGTTTAGGTGAGGGTGTGTGTGAAGGTAGGTTAAGGTGAGGGTGTGTGTGAAGGTAGGTTGAGGCAGGTTCAGGTGAGGTTGTGGCTGCTCCCACTGTACACTGCCCAGGACGGTACTGCTGCTCCACCCACCTGACTGGTAGTAGTCCTTTGAGCACTGTGTACACTTGAATGGTCGATCTTTGCTGTGGAACCGCATGTGTACGACCAAGTCACTCTTCCGGATATAGCCTGTAAACACACAGAGTGAAGTACATGTTGTTTGTTGTTTAATGCCACATTCAACAGTTTTCTGGCTACATGAGTTTGTAGATTATCCTGTGATTGACAATATGAGCTTCAATCTATGAAATTGGGGTACAATGACATGTGTCAATCAAGGCAGCGACTCAAACCATCAGATTTTGTTAGTCGCCTCTTACAACAAGCATAGGTTGCTGAAGACCAATACCAAACAGGATCTTCACACGTTCCAATGACTACATGTTTTCTATGTAATATGGTACAATTGATTTCGTCCTGTAACCATAACAACCGGCCCAGAATTAACAACTGAAGATAAGCTTGAGTACATTTGTCTACACAAGTTTATTAAAGTAAATATTTTATGTACTGTATAAGGTCCAAGTAAAAGAGGGGCAATGGTGTAGCCTGTGTTAGAGCGTTCAGCTAGGAAACAGAACATTAAAGGTCACATGCAACGTAAAACACAACTTTGCAGATTCTGATACCTTTCGGTATGGACTTACCGAAACAAAGCGTCAAAAATGCAAATTCAACTTATAAAGTTGAAAAATAACGCGATGAAAAAAAACGCGCAAAATCGGAGTTCAAACGTTTCACTAATTTTCCCCGACTTTTCTGGGGAAAACGGGTTTCAACAGCTGGGCTGCGCTCATAGCACGTGCGCAGTGAAATAGGTTCGCACAACTTGGAAGCGGGTTGTCTGGTGAATACTCGGTGAAGGCTTTGGTGTGACTATTTTCATAATGTTTTGTTGATATCTCACAGGCGCGAGATTTTTATATGTTATGACAGTAAATAAACTGTTTATATAATTTCATTTGTCTATTTCACCACACGTTCTTCTTACCGAGTCACTTTCTCAGTTCGATACTTAAAAGCAATGTCATTATTTAGCGTTGACACAATTTCTAACTGTGATATAGATATGTCGCTGTCACAGACAAAACTCAATGTCTTGTTTTATTGACACCTGTGTGTCTGCCTGCCTGTCTGCTAATGACAATATTCAATACACAACTGCGATCACTGACCACATGCAATTTGAATTTAACACCAATCAGGCTATACACCATAAACAAAATGCATTGATTTATGGCCCGAGTTCGGTCTCTGTCACATTATGTAATTACACAGACAGGCAGGTGTGATACTTGAACACATGACATGTTATGATGTCTGTTGATTGCAAAATGTTATACACAAAAAATGAGCATGTATTTACAAAACCCAACATCTCTATATATACACACACAAAGAGCCGTGAAGGCAGCATCTGCTAATGAACCAGCCGTTACACTTGAGTGCACACCCACCCGCTCTGACTGGGTTCGGTATCCGGCTGCTTCGTTTCGAGGGAGGTAAACCCAAGTACAAAATATTGCACTTTTGATTTGCGATTATACGCTTATAATTTTGTTTATTTGTTTTTTCATAATCAGCAATGCATATTATATGTCATGAAGAAGTGATAATTGTGTTTTAATTATGTTTGATTTTTTGGTTGCATGTGACCTTTAAGGAACTGTCTCTGAGCAATGATTCTGTTGACTGCATGGACAATGATAAAATTCCTGTTACTGAATTTAACGAAATTTCGAGCAGTAAGATAAAATTATCAAATCAGACCCATATACTTTTGTTATGTTTTAAACCATCAATACCAAAACTCGAACATTAAGCATACGTAATTTTATATTGAGCAGCAGTGCAACTTGTTTTTTTTGTCTTGTTCAACAAGGATATCACCTAAGGCTGCACAGGGTGCTGGTACTGTGGTAGGTTTCAGTTCCTTAATTCAAACACTGGGTACAATGGGTGAAGCGTTTTCCCGCAATGATATTGCTGATGCATTGGTCTAAGCAGTGTAAAACCTGACTGACTCCCTCTCAGTGCTAGACAGTGCCTTACCTTTGCCACACACTTGACACTTGTGAGGCTCCTGCTTTGTGTGGATCAGCATATGCCTCTTCATGTCACATCTCTGGATGAAGCTCAGCTCACAGGTCGGACACTTGTACTTGTTCTGGGAGCAGCACACAAAAACACTGTCAGTGCTTACGGGGAAATATCTAAGGTTAAAAACTAAATGCACATGGCAAGTAAACTGGGAAATAATTATCATTCTGTTCTAAATTGGGATGTCGGTTAAAGTTAGTGTAATTAAAATTCAGAAGTATTTCTTTAAAACTGCATTCAATGCAATAATAAAAACATTAAAGCATCTTCTGCTTTACTGGTTCTCATATCAGCAGGGCTCCAGATAATTTTTCAACATCAGGAGTACGTACTCCTTATTTGTTCAATATAGGAGTACTGGAAAACCTTAAGTGTACATTTAGAGTACTGAATGGAAATTAATGGACTATCAGTAATCTTGTGTTTCGTTTCATATATGCACCACAAAATTGCTACTCTTGTGTAAACAGAACAATACTTTTTTCAGATAAATACGCCTGTAAATGATTCTAAGACCGTACACCATTGCTGTGGTGCGAATCTGCTACGTTTTCTAAATTATTTCCTACCCTATAATGCATATTTTTTATCCGTACATATGCAGATACGGCCCTTATCTGGAGCCCTGTATCAGTGTACAATGCCATAACTTCCAATGCTTTAATTATAACAGCCCAACGTGAATCCAATCAGCAAATTTTCCTCTGACACGTCGTAGAATTGGGGCGGATTATTAGCCTCTGAGCAATTTTACATAAATCCCACGTATGGGTATTGATTTAAATGCTCCTTTGATTTCCTGCATGTTAAGATACTGAAATTCAATACAGGATATATTTCTTTTTCAATGTCCTAATCATAATGTTTTACTCAAGTTAATATTTGTATAAAATCTTTGAATGGCATTTGGTATATGACCAAGGGAAATGTTTATAAATGTCAACTTCAGTATTATGAAGAACGCACAATATTTTACAGAATATAGTATCACTCCCATCATTAGGTGTCATTATATTCTCCTGATGAAAGAGTAAAAATATAATCTGAAACATCATGTCCTCGTAATACAGAAGTTGACATCCACAAACATTCCCCTAATTATTGCATTTGTAAATGTATTATTTCACCACTGAATACATAATAACAGACAATATTTATTTCCCTGAACATGATGAAGTTCAGTTCCTATCAATATGTATGCTGAGTAATCTGTGTCTTGGAAACAACAGCAAAGTTTGTAGTTAGATTCGTGCAACAAAGAACTTTAATAATGACATTTCTCAACCATGTCTCAACCATATTAGAGATAACATAAAATCTAGCCCAGTATGACTAACTGTGATAACCTTGATCTCATGCCAAAAGAACAAACGGGAAACAAACTATGAATTGAGTGTTATGTACAACTCAACATTTGCTAGGGATCAAAGTAGTCCTAGTTAGTCAATGTCCTTAGCAAGTGTTGTATGGTACATATCATTACATTTCCCTACCTCATTGTTAACCTTGTGGATTTTCCGATGCCGCGTGTAATTCCCCAGAACATCAAACTGTGCACTACACAAGTCACACTTGAACACTTTTTCCTTGTCCACAACTCGTTTATACTTTTTCCTTGTTGGTGAAGTTTGTGGAACAATGTCAGCTAATTGAAGAGGTGGCTCCTCTTTGCCCTGTCTCTGCCTGTCCCCCTTCTCTGCATCCATATCAACAACCTCTGTATCTAACGAGTCATCCACAGAGTCATCCAGATCAGCATCGGTAATCTCATGGCCGAGGTCTTCCGTCAGAGTTGTTGTGATGTTCTGACAATATAAAACATCTTTGCTGGAAAAAGCACTATTACGTATAAGATGTACTAACACCGGTGTTGATTTCTCCTCACACATGATGGGCACAGTCACCTTCACCTCTTTCCCATCCGTATCTTTCGGAAGAATGGGAACTTTATGAGACGGCAGTTCCTTGACCAGTCTCGACCCTTCCTGAAGACCCTCAATTATCAGAGTTGAAGGAGCACAGTGTTTCCTCATCTCAACTGTCCTTGAAAGTTCTTTAGTGTCATTTGAGTTGTTTTCCTTTTGTGCTTCTTTCGATGATGCCCTGTCCTCGACCTCCTGGAGCTCCTCGGATGATGAACACTGGAGGATTGGCTGATCTGGAGTTAGAGTCAGTAGGTTGGTCAGAGGGAGGCAGTCTGACAGCTGTTTTGTTTGGGTCACTCCTGCATTTGATGGCAAGTCCTGAAAACTGAACAGCTCTGAAAAAGAATTGGACTCTGAACCTTCAGATTTTGAAAGAACCATGCGTTTCACTGAGCTTTTGTCCATATCACTGTCTGAGACAACCCGAGGTATTTCTGTTTGAATTAAGTTTGTCGAACCTGAGCAATTGTTTTTCATAAGAATGTCTTCTAGTCTAAGGAATGAGGTAGGATTAGCTTCATGTGTGTCTTGCGACTTCAACACCATGTGTGTCCCTTCTTGTAGAGCACTAGACACCTCCGTAGCTTCTGTCATGTTGGCAACACCTTTAGAAGAACCTGAAGCTCCAAATGGAAAATGTATCACATCCTTGTTTGAATGTTCTTTACCAAGCAGACTACTCCCAAGAGAGGTCTGGCAATAAGAAGAAGGCATCGGTACAGTCACAGTTTCTGTATAGGATGCACTACTCTTGCAGGTGTCGTCTGAACCAACCTTAACCACATCCTGCCCCGAAGCAGTAGCCATTGTCTGTACAGACGATGGAAGCGTTACCGGCTTGACAAGATTGAGAATGTCTGGGTTGATGCTGATTGGTGGAGTGTTCAGCACCCAGATTCCTGCAGCTGCTGGTGTTACGGACACAGAATTCATCCCGGACTGCGGAGACTCGGACTTCTTGGCATTTAGCACTGCGGACACCAGTGTCTGGGCGGTCATGTTCCCTATCACAACTGGTCCAGCATTCAGAGGACTGAGAAGCTGGACCCCTGGAACATGACCATGGCTGGAGCCTCCTGTTGAGGCAGCTGTTAATGATGGGATGGCTGACGTGACAGAAATCGGCAAGGAGCTATTACTGGCTGAAATAGCTGAAGCTGATGAGACTGAGACATTGTCAAAACAAGATGGTGGGCTACATGACAGACCTGTCTCAAAATTTGGAGTTATTGATAGTTCAAGGTCATCAGGGTCATCACCTTCTCTGACCAAAGAATAGGAAGATCCTAAAACTGAATCTGGGTCAAATTTGGAGGATTCACCAAAGTCCAAGCCAATATCAGAAGAGATCTGATCTGCTTTGTCATCAGACAGGGACGGGTTGAGCAGCCTCGAGATGTCAGTTGATGGACTGTCCGCAGCATCGTGGAGACTGGACACCTCTGACAAGCTGCTGCAGTTCATGTTGGCAACAAGCAGAGTTACCTCCCCTTTGTCATATCTGTTTCACATCCATAGTTCTACAACAGAAAGGTTCAGACTTTATAAATAAGATTCAGTAAAACAATGACATTTAAAAAACTGTCTGACACAACATGTATTTCAGTACAAGTTTTCACATCTAATGAACATTAACAACAGTTTAAATGAAGCATGATGGCAGCATTGAAATACCTGCCTGCCCGACCGCCCGGGACGGGTTATTTTCAACATGGACTGCCACATTTCAAATTCACCTGCCTGACGGTGGGGTTAAAATTTAGACATGCATATTAGTATTTTGTTTGTGGGCAGGTAGGTTTTGGTCAGGGCTGGCAAGTTTTACATCCCACCAGCCCTGTGGTCTGGCTGAAATTTTTGGGAGTTTCATACCCTGATGATGGTCAAGGAAATATTAAACGAAACGACAAATGTATTTCATGGGAACAAAGTTGCAAATTTTGTGCCTGTAGTCAAATGAATGAACCAGTATTTTGCACTGATAAACAACAATGCTCAAGTAAGTTTTCTTTTCCATGTGCAACTACTTAAGCAGATCTTTCACTTCCATTTACTAATGTTACATGGAAAATATGCCTGAAACATAAATTATTGCTAAGTGTTATTTCATATCTATTTTTGGTTACAGATAAGGTAAAACACTACCCCCTCCATCTTTTGAAAATTTAAACCCCTCACCCGATGTATTGTCCTACACATCCAAGATCATCATTATGGCATTCTACATTGTCTCCATCTGATGAGTTTGTATTAGTTGACGCCACTTGGGGCAATATTCCAGCAATATCATGACCAGGGACGATTGAGACAGCAATGACTGACTGTGTCCAGTATGGCTTTCTTTGTTGTTTAATGCCGCACGCAGCAATATTCCAGCAATATCATGACCGGGGACATGTGAGACGGCAATGACTGACTGTGTCCAGGATGGCTTTCTTTGTTGTTTAACGCCACACTCAGTAATATTCCAGCTATTTGGCAGCGGTCTGTAAATAATCGAGTCTGGACCAGACAATCCAGTGATCAACATCATGAGCATCAATCTACGCAATTGGGATACGATGCGTCCGAAAGCAGTAACACGATGATGTCAACCAAGTCAGCAAGCCTGACCACCCGATCCCATCAGTCGCCTCTTGCGACAAGTATGGCTTGCTGAAGACCAATTCTAACCCGGATCTTCAAGGGAAGTACAGACATGGAAGAATGTTTTCTCACCATTTGTTAAAATCATGGAAAAGTCCTCATGCATTTCTCTAGCACATTCACTGAACAACAAGCTTGTTATACAGTTACCCTTGCCCCATGCACCAACAACTGCATGTTCATTTGCGTCCACATGGATGGAATGCTCATGCAAGCAAAGTGCAGTAAAATGCACCAGAACCTAAACATTATATTCAAATTATGCTTTGTGTCAGCTACTTATCCAAAATCATAAAGCATAAAAAAACTCACAAGACAGTTACATAAAATTTCCGAGGTTACCATGGGAATACCAGTGTTCATTCCAACATTTCTAAAAAGTGAGCCCATGGCCCACCAGCCTCCAGTTATGTGGGTCATTTAGAAAATATTGTGGGCCATGTCAAATTGCTGTGACTTTTTAGCCATACGTTACCAGTTACTAGCATGAGTTCACATCGTTTTGGGGAGCGGTGGTATAGCCTAATGGATAAAGCGTCTGCTCATCATGCTGAAGACCCGGGTTTGATTAGCCACATGGGTACAATGTGTGAAGCCCATTTCTGGTATCCCCCACTATGATATTGCTGGAATATTGCTAAAAGCAGCATAAAACCATACTCACTCACTTCTTTTCAATCCAGGTGAGGTCAACAAGAGAAACCATTTTTAACACATTAATAAAACAGTAAACATCAAAAAGTATTTGAAAAATAAGATAAATAATAAACTATAAATGAGGTGAGGTGAGGTGAAAATTGGTTTTACGTCGTGCTTGAGAATATTTCGCTCATATGATGACGTGCATGCGTGTGTATGTGTATGTGCGGCTGCTTGTACTAGCCCAGACTTAAGCTGGTTTTATAGTGCTAGCCCACTCAGATACCATGCCGCAGTGAAGCATGAATACTCCACTCAGACACATTATACTGACTCCGAGCCGACCAGTCCTTGTTGTACCCATTAATGCCGAACGCCAGGAAGGGACCAACAAGTACCATATTTTAACGTCTTTTGGTATGACGCGGTCGGGGATCGAACCCGCGACCTTCCGCTCTCCGGGCGGACGCTCTCACCACTACATCACGGAGGCGGTCCAACTATAAATGAACCGAACCTCTATGTTCCCTGACAACACAACTAAACATTCCGATACTGATTGAACAGTTTACTTAGTCAAGCTGACACCAAGTGTGGGTTTTCAACCTGAACCTTGGGAAACAACTGGACACTTCAACAGTGAACAGTGATCCTTCTGATAATGGTCAGTCTGACAGTGACTAATACATTCATGCTGTCGGATTATGTTTCCGATTAATGAGATGTTTTACAAGTAATGGTGTTAACAAATGTTTAAGCGTCCGAAAGTGAGTGAGTGAGTTTAGTTTTACGCCGCACTCAGCAATATGGCGGCGGTCTGTAAATAACTGAGTCTGGACCAGACAATCCAGTGATCAATGGCATGAGCATCGATCTGCCCAATTGGGAACCGATGCGTCCGAAAGACTGTAACACGAGGATACCTCAGAGGTACATATAAACTGCGTATCTGCGTAAATTACGCAAATATTAGTGTGAAAACTCAATTCCTATTAAGTCTACTGCGTACAAGTACGCTTGAATTTTGGTAAATACTCAATAAATGTGATCTTACAGGCGTACACACGAAAATGTCAAATGTTAGCTTGCGTACCGGTGGATAGATAACATAACTGAGGTATACTGAGAGGTTCTATTTCCGGACATGACAACTTGCAGTCTTTCTTATCGTTTCTCATTACAGATCAAATATAAATAACAAACACTACCATTTAAACTTTTATATATTTAAAATTACTGGAAAACGTCAAAATACCCAACTGAGCTTGAGTGAGATGAGTACAATTTATTTGGCTACTCAAAGAAAAATTAGGATACCCAATTGAGATGAACACAAGCGAATCAGTGTTCACGAATAGCGTCTGACCCTCTGACAAATCTGGCAGATTCGCCAACGGTCAGACAGAAGTCTACAACCCGCCGGCCCCAGTGTCTGACTGTATATTTCACAATGACTTTGACTGAAGTTGTTTTATGTGACATGTGACACTTGTTTGCTGTTTATAAATCTTATGTTTGTTAATAATTTCAATGTCAATTATAAGAAATATTAAATCTGAAATGTGTGTTTAATTTTATTCCATGGGTCCTGTGCATTTTCAATAGGTCAGACAGACATCTGAAACTTACAGGACTCAATGTCCTGTGACTTTGAAACGCCATTCGTGAACACTGGCGAATACATAACTCAATGACCCCAAAAGTTATCTGTAGCTCTGTACCTGTAATGTTGGTTGGAAGTTCCCAGCCTGAACTTAACCATACCTCGTCAACACAGTGTTATCTGCTGGGTAATGCACATCTTACGATTTGCTGCTCATTTGAATGATAGCCACTAGCAAAGATGGAACCACATAGTTTTAACAAGAAGACAAAGTCATCAATATCCCCCGCAATGGCAAAATACTCTTCATGATTATGTCTACGAGTTATGATTATGTCAAATATTTATGTGTGTATATAGAAAAGTGGAAGGAGAGTATTGAAAGGTTTTGAAAGTTCTGCTCCAGAAAGGAGCACTGTCACCAATTTCATTCTATGTCAAACTTGTTGCCATGGAAACGCCAAAAATATTTTATTCAGAATTCCAAAACTACCAAAAGGCACAAGTACACCACCAGATCTATCTATGTGCCAAGTTTGGTGAAGAAATAGTGAACAGTTTTAGAGTTCAGCTCCGGAAAAGAGCACAACCACAATTTCAGGCTAAGTGAAAATTGTTGCCATGGAAACGCCAAAAATATTTTATTCAGAATTCCAAAACTACCAAAAGGCACAAGTACACCACCAGATCCATGTATGTGCCAAGTTTGGTGAAGAAATATTGAACGGTTTTAGAGTTCTGCTCCGGAAAAGACAAATTTGCACGTACCACCAATTCCAGGCTAAGTGAAACTTGTTGCCATGGAAACGCCAAAAATATTTTTTTCAGAATTCCAAAACTACCAAAAGGCACCACTACACCACCAGATCTATGTATGTGCCAAGTTTGGTGAAGAAATATTGAACAGTTTTAGAGTTCTGCTCCAGAAAAGAGCACAACCACCAATTTCAGTCTAAGTCGAACTTGTTACCATGGAAACGCCAAAATTATTTTATTCAGAATTCCAAAACTACCAAAAGGCACCACTACACCACCAGATCTATCTATGTGCCAAGTTTGGTGAAGAAATATTGAACAGTTTTAGAGTTCTGCTCCAGAAAAGAGCACTACCACCAATTTCAGTCTAAGTCGAACTTGTTGCCATGGAAACGCCAAAAATATTTTATTCAGAATTCCAAAACTATCAAAAGGCTCAAGTACACCACCAGATCTATCTATGTGCCAAGTTTGGTGAAGAAATAGTGAACAGTTTTAGCGTTCAGCTCCGGAAAAGAGCACAACCACGATTTCAGGCCAAGTGAAACTTGTTGCCATGGAAACGCCAAAAATATGTTATTCAGAATTCCAAAACTATCAAAAGGCACAAGTACACCACCAGATCTATCTATGTGCCAAGTTTGGTGATGAAATAGTGAATGGTTTTAGAGTTCTGCTCCGGAAAAGAGCACTACCACCAATTTCAGTCAAAGTCGACCTTTTTGCCATGGAAACGCTAAAAATATTTAATTCAGAATTCCAAAACTACCAAAAGGCACCAGTACACCACCAGATCCAAGTATGTGCCAAGTTTGGTGAAGAAATATTGAACGGTTTTAGAGTTCTGCTCCGGAAAAGACAAATGTGCACGGACGGACGTACAGACGGACGGACGGACGGACGGACGGAGTCCATTTTAATACCCCCCGCAAAATGCGTTTCGGGGGATAAAAAACTAAACACATGTTCATTGCTTTTGCTAAAAAACTGTAAAGCGTTCAGAGTTACATCGGCATTTTACAGTTGATATGTATCCCATGGCAACAAAAGCGTGAAACTTTAACATGCAAGCCAATTGGTTCACTTAACAAAACCGACCTATCACAACCAATTGGTTCACTTAACAAAACCGACCTATCACAACCAATTGGTTCACTTAACAAAACCGACCTATCACAACCAATTGGTTCACTTAACAAAACCGACCTATCACAACCAATTGGTTCACTTAACAAAACCGACCTATCACAACCAATTGGTTCACTTAACAAAACCGACCTATCACAACCAATTGGTTCACTTAACAAAACCGACCTATCACAACCAATTGGTTCACTTAACAAAACCGACCTATCACAACCAATTGGTTCACTTAACAAAACCGACCTATCACAACCAATTGGTTCACTTAACAAAACCGACCTATCACAACCAATTGGTTCACTTAACAAACAAACAACCAACACTATCACAACCGACCTATCACAACCAATTGGTTCACTTAACAAAACCGACCTATCACAACCAATTGGTTCACTTAACAAAACCGACCTATCACAACCAATTGGTTCACTTAACAAAACCGACCTATCACAACCAATTTTATGAGGAGATAACAAAACTTTACGGATGATCAACTTCCTTATTTTCACAAGTTGATCATCCCTAAAGTTTTGTCATCTCCATACCACCAACTTCTAGAATGCCACTCAAACAAATCAATTTTACGAAGCGCCTTGGTTTTACTTAGTAAACTGATCTGCAGGTTTCCGACAATTATTCAAAATAGGTTGAAAGTCATGAGCTGAGTTCAGAGTATTCAAACCTCGTTTCGGTGAGAATACTGACTGACTGACTGAGTTTAGTTTTACGCGGCTTTTAGCAATATTCCAGCAATATCACGGCAGAGGACACCAGAAATGGGCTTAACACATTGTGCCCATGTGGGGAATCGAACCCGGGTCTTCGGCATGACGAGTCAACGCTTTAACCACTAGGCTACCCTAAAGCCCTCGGTGAGAATAAGTGTATTGTTGTTTTTCAAAGACGTACTTGAATTTTACTTCAGCTACCAAGCAAAAACAAACTTGCAATGTGTTTCAGATTTACAGTTATGGATGCGCCACGCCACCCCGCCCTGCCCCGCCCTGCCCGTACCTGTACAGTGCGCCATGTTAGTGCATGAATGGCGCAAGAGAACATCAAAGAATGAAGACTGTAATACAATCAACATGAACTATACTACCCACAACTCACTTTCAGTGCCAAAAGTCATGTCATCAATTAAATTGATATTTGTGTCCTACATGTGATGCTTTGTCTGCTAATGGCCATCAACATGGCAACATCTCTCATCTAAATGGTGTTTTCACTAATGAAATTTTCAATCTCTGCAACCTGTGGCATCCTCGTCCCGTTCGGCAACACCTATACGATTACAGGTAACAAACACCGACAGGTATCCATGTTACAATTACACAAACATGTACTGTTAGGAAGAGTCCATTTTCACCTATTTAACAACAAAACAAATGGTTAAATTTACTAAATTTATCGAAGTTATATTACTTTTTCAAATCCTTGGGATAAAATACTAGCCTTTGTTGTAATGAATGTTAGAATCTTAAGTTCTCGATTTGATTGAACATATTGATTTAGTTTTACATGGACCATAGACAACCCTGGAGAATAATGGATTCTTCCGAAGGGAAAACAAATAAAATAATATGCTTCTACCACTAAATGTGTTTTCGGTCACATTTACCAAATTAATCAACTTGAAGGAAGGTGAATCGCTTCGCCCGTGTTGAGGAAAGGAATAACAAGTGAGTGGATTCTGATAACAAATCATATGTTTCAGAACATTCTTTAGATGTTTCTATTTTGACACAACATGTTTTTTTTCAGTTCACAATTAAAGTAACATTAAAATGTATTTGTTAATGGCACCTGAATCGGTAGCATGTAATGAAATGACAATTTCTTTTCATCAGTTCACATCATCAAACCTCAAGTCAAAAATACATTTTTGAAACAGTATTATCGTCTTCTATGCTGGATTTCTTAAGATCTTTTCATTCCAATACAGTAGCTATGTTTTAAATAAGAATCTCGGAATAAATATTTTGGAGAGTTTACAAAGTGGACTGGTCATGATAGAACCTGTTATTAATACACAATGCACTTCACAGGGCTTTATATGATGCATAATTCTTGCATATTTGACACAACAATTATGTTAAATACTCCCTAAATATTTTCATACCAGTCATAGCTGATGCAAAAGAAATTTCAAATACACGATCTTGAATCCACTAAATACAATAACCGTGCACTGCATCAGATTCCTTACAACATAGGACAATATCAAAAGCATGCCTTTTCAGCCCTTGCTTTGTTTAAAATTACTAATGGAATTATTTTATTAACAAAGTATTTCATGAATCACAAATTTAGAAAATAACTCCCAAAAACATTTACTGTAAGTCACTATGACTCGTTCTGCCCAAAGTCTATGTAGAACCCTGATTTCATAAAGTCATCAAACGTAACCAGGGTTACATTTTGAATCACACATTCTCAGTAAAGTAAAAACACTGGGTCCTATGCAGGAATCGAATCTTCACTCTCCGAGCGATGCACCAAATTGCTAACAAACCAACTCAGCTATGAAACCCACTAAGCAACTTAGGACTTTATTCAACCAAACAAATAAAACTTGAACCTGTTGAACCTGTTTTCTTTATTTATAACCATAAATACCAGACAACTGTTGGATAAAAAATAACATATACCATCATGTACACCCTGTGCCTCGACATTGACGTGTCCTACTTTTTCAATGTTCAGAAAACATTTGAGACTAAACATGTTAACAAACGTTAAGTTTAAAAGTATCACAGTTTACAAATTTACATACAACATTCAATACATGTTGCCATTCATAATTTTCTCAAATTAAAAAAAAAAGATACAATAATCACTTGATAACTATTCATCTATCACTACCCAGATGACTACCAAGCAACAAAATGCTAAATCCAACACTGAAATACCGTAAATTAACCTTGTACTGAGTTAAACATAAACTTGATGACAGCATTGACAGGTCACAGGTCACAGGTCACATGGGAAAATTTAAATTAAAAATTGCACAAATTAAGTTCATTAAACTTTGGTTTTAAAGTTTTAACAAACTGAAAGGGACAATAATTTTTACTTTGTTATAACTGAAGTTTGCTAAATGCACACAGTAAAACATACAGCAAGGGGCTGCAACAAGATACATTATTCATTATATCTGTCAGTTTGTTATAAGCATGTTTTTTATTAACACTTCCAGTTAGCAAACACACATTTCCAGTACAGTATTAACTTTGAACCAGAAAATCCTATAAGTCCAACTTCCAGTTTAATGACCTTGAACTTCAATCTCAGCCATAAAGTATTTAGAGATCATGTTCATAAAGTTCTATCAAACTCATTTGAGGAATCGAACCCGAGTCTTCAGCATGACAAGGGGACACTTTAACCACTAGGCTACCCCACCGCCTTCCCGAGTCTTCAGCATGACAAGGGGACACTTTAACCATTAGGCTACCCCCACCACCCCTCTCAATCAAGAACATTATTTCTTTCAACGTCACTTCGACATTTGGCACAATTAAAACATGTGATCTGTGTTAAGGTACTTACTTAGAGGTCATATATTACCTGACAGCAAACATCTTTAATTTGTCATGAATTAAAATGAAACTTTGACCATTGCTTTGAAACTTGACCCTCAGTGACCTTGACCTTATAAATCGTCAAACAGTTGATATGCTCTAGACTGACTGACTGAGTTTGGTTTTACGCTGCTTTTAGCAATATTCCAGCTACATCACGGCGGGGGACACCAGAAATGGGCTTCACACATTGTACCCATGTGGGGATTCGAACCCAGGTCTTCGGCGTGAGATATGCTCTAGAATTGCCTTTGACATCATGTATACTGAGTTTTAACAAATTCAACTTCTAAATCCTTAAATTATTGGGGAAAGATGCTTTTTATTATGACTAGTTCATAGCTTATCTCACATGCAATTGTACATGGGTATATCAGGTATAATACGGTAACTTCTACTGTTAGCACATGGTTGAGAAAATGTTGCAGGGCTCAATTTGGCTGTTGAACTCATGGTCGAGTAAACACATTAACATAGGTGTCTGCTGATAACATGACATTATCACACACAAAATATAACTTGTGCAGTTTTGAAATTGCCTGGAGGTCTCAATCATTCCCCTCTTCAAGATTTGAGAATTCTTGTATCAGAGTACCCAATCTAATTATAATGAAATTGCAATGATTTTCCAATTCTGAGAAACGTAGGTCCTGCGGCCTATCATGTCCACTGGGCTTGTTTGTTCCTGAACACCACACTTAGCAATATTCCACAATCACGCACCAATCAATAATAGTGGGTATTTGTAACCGCGCCTATATCCGTGCATTCAATGCTCGCTCAAGGCGCTACAGCACACATATTTTTACCCCGGATAACCCAAGCTGCCTGTTAGGCGCTAGAAGGTTATAGTCACATGACTTATCCCACCGGGTACCCATTTTCCTGCTGGGTGAACAGAGACAATGTTGAACAAACTGACTTGCCTAGGTGAGACCACATGTGTCACATGTGCTTTGTTGTGGGGCAGGACTCAAGTCCTAGAAACTCTCAGGAGCCAAGCTGCCAAGCACAGTCACCCATCCAAGGACTCTCCGAGCTCGACGGTGCTTAACTTCACCGATTTGTGACCTGAGCTTTGAGCACAGGACCACGCGCCACATGGTACCAATCAGACCCATTCAGAACGTGTAGTCACCTCTTATAATGAGACAGTTGATGAATCAAACCATATCCCTTCATGAATTCAATTCATTATCCAAGGTCACTAGAATCGAGTATTTATAAGTATGATTCTGAGAGTCTTTACTTGGAACCAGTTTGTTTTTAAACAAAATGAGAAACACAAAATGGAAAATGTCCCAGCCATGCAATAGCATAACTTGTGTCATTAGGCTATAAACGACATTGTTCGCAATCTATTATTTTCTTTTTTGATGATTTATGGAAAATATCATTCAAATGTTTCAACTTAAGCAATTACATGACATGTAATTACTACATATTAACAGGGCTCCAAATAATTTTTCAACATCAGGAGTACGTACTCCTTATTTGTTCAATATAGGAGTACTGGAAAACTTTAAGTGTACATTTAGGGTACTGAATGGAGTATCAGTAATCTTGTGTTTCGTTTCATATATTGCTACTCTTGTGTAAACAGGTCAATGAACAAGAAAACAAATATTTTTCAAATAAATATGTCTGTAAATGATTCTAAGACCATACACCATTGCTGTGGAGTGTATCTGCTACGTTTTCAAAATTATTTCCATACCGTACCGTGCATATGTTTTATCCGTACATAAGCTGATACGGCCCTTATCTGGACCCCTGATTAACCATAAAATTCATGAATGAATATTCATGTTCATTACGATATTTTCGTAAAACATGTTATAATCGCCTCATAGTGTATTCATTGCATCCCTATTGAGCACATGCCACCAGGGACCAGTTCGGCCCCGGAACACTCCTTGGGGGAAGTTCATGAAAAATGTATTCAATATTATGTATTGGAATCTGTGCTTGTAGTCATCGGAGAAACTGACATGTTTTAACTTTTCACAGAAACTGGTCATCCCATCAACATGGAACACAAACCTACAATCACACTTCCAGGGCTCAACCTGCGGAGACGACAGATTGAAATACCTAAAATTGTAAGTTTGCACTCTCTGTGTTATTGTTAATGAAACAATCAGCAACAATCTAGCTTTATCATTGAGGCCATTTCTCAACCATTGTATCAGCAGTGAGGTCTGTCTAAATAATTGTAACTGGAAAAACGCTTCCTCAGGTCATACAAACAGCAAAAAATTGTTCACTGGACAAGGAGGATGCCCTCATTAAAATGTGTTGGGAAAAAGTATGTTTATTTACTAAGTCGACCTACACCATACCTGTCACATCCCTCATGCCTACTTGCGTTATTTTTAGCATCAGGGGATTTCTACCAAAACATCATACTGAAAGCTGAAGCAGTACTTTCAGAAATAGAAAAGTATTTTCAGCGGCATCCCTAGACTAACAACTAGTCTCTGAAATGAACATATTTTACAGAAAAAAAGCTCATAGTAAGATAAATAAAATATAATGAAAAGGAGCCCTGAGACTTTCTTCATTTTTAGAATCTGTGGAAATGTAGACTTGCCACATTTTCTAGACATGCGTGGGCTTTCTTGGATATATTTGCTTCAGGGTCTGTATGGCAGACTACAGCGTCCCTTGAAAATAACTATGAGGCCACTAAAGGCATCAGTATGAATAATAAATGCCATTTGAACAAAGTTGAGTCTGAAAACCAAACATATTCATGTTCTCGAATCATTTATCTGAATATGGCAAAATGGGTGCAAATCATACATTCCAGAGCTGAACTGTGAACATCATGTCGGTCTCACCAGCTCTGTGTGTGTGTGTGTGTGTGTGTGTGTGTGTGTGTGTGTGTGTGTGTGTGTGTGTGTGTGTGTGTGTGTGTGTGTGTGTGTGTGTGTGTGTGTGTGTGTGTGTGTGTGTGTGTGTGTGTGTGTGTGTGTGTGTTTGCACAATTCATATTGGGTATGTGTTCACAGACACCTTCCAGTGCTTCATAATATTAATTTTGTGTATATTGTACATATACACTTTAGAGTCATGAAGATCCAGGTTAGAATTGATCTTCAGTGACCAATGCTTATCGTAAGAGGTGACTAAGGGATCGGGTGGTCAGACTCGCTGACTTTGTTGACACATGTCATCGTAGCCCAATTTGGCAGATCAATGCTCATGCTGTTGATCACTGGATTGTCTGGTCCAGACTCGATTATTTACAGACCGCCACCATATAGCTGGAAAGCTGAGTGCAGCGTTATACTCAACTCACTCACTCACATATAAACTTTCGTAGAATGTAAACATACATGTTATTCAGCACAATTGTAAGGTAACACTTTCTAAATTATTACATGTGTAAGTCTTGTTTAACGGATTTCCATTCCGACGAATACTGTCGTGCCACGTGATGCATTAGATCTGGTAGTATTTCTGCACACCTTGATGAGGACCTTTTCATAAAACCCCATCAACGGCGCCCGAGAATCGGGTGAGATCACTTGCTTAGAAGTGATCAGTGTTGTTACCCAAACCACAAACAATTCAGATGAAACGTAGAAATAAAAACCCATTATTTACACAATCTGCACCACTCCGTACCTTTTTAACTTGAAGTAAGGTTTGTTTTGATGTTTTCTTCGCGGAATAAGTTTTGTATTCAAAGCTTCTGGCGGCAAGTCCCAAATCACATGGAAGAGTCCTTCTGCATTAAAACGTAACGCCTCATGGTTGGGTCCGACATGTCCATTTATAATATTCGCTGCGGCATATTTCAGAAAAACGCAAAGCAAACGTTAATTGCTACTGATGAATGCATTTCGAGAAAAGAAAAATCCGCGAAAACATCCTTTACGTGGCGGAAGTATACATTTGGCAGGGGAAGTAACTCTTGTCAATCACAATTTCACGAGCCACTAGGTAAAAGTTCAACTCGTTTCAAAGCAGATAGCCTTGTTCCAAGGCTGTACCGAATACTACTGATCATACAGGGGCGGATACAGCTTTTTTAGAAAGGGGGGTTCATTTTCACCCGTTTCACGACAGTTTCAATGGTCATTTAATATACTTTCAGGACAAACGTTGGGGTCCGCACCCCTGGACCCCACCTCTGGATCCGCGTATGTATATCCATGAGCCATCCTCTGAAGAGGTAAGTCTAGATAAGAACTCTAGATAAGTCTGTTTTATATATATTCGAGAAATTATCGTTTAAACTATCAATTATTTCCTTAGAGACTTGAGCATGTCTATAAAGCCAGTTATAATTTGATATATTTTGTTAACTCATATATCTGCCAAAACTCGCATTCCATTATATTTATATCACGTTTCAATACATATTTAACATACATGAGTCTTTTGGAATAAATGCCTTAAGGCGTATGCAAATATTTGTATTTGAAAACTCTATAAATAACAATATTAAGCTCCATTTTTATGAAAATATATGGTCCTTTTTTCAATTAGAAACAGACGTATTGTTTTGGCGTGTGTGATAATGAAGACAGCTTAAAGGCCTAAATGAAGCATTTCATTTTACTGGAACTTATATAACACAGACTAACCTATTTTTAAGATAGTCCGTGTGACTGAATCGTCTTGCATTGATAAGTTACTATATACTATATATAAGTCCCTTATCGTGTAGCTGGGTAGCATAAGTGTAAAGATTATTACAAAAAATGTCAGACTGTTTTGCTCGGGATCTTTGGTTTGGTTGGTTGGCTAGTTGTTTTACGCCGCACTCAGCAATATTCCAGCTATATGGCGACGGTCTGTAAATAATCGCGTCTGGACCAGACAACCACGTGATCAACAGCATGAGCGAGTCTGACCACCGGATCCCGTTAGTCGCCTTCGATGTTAGTACGGTCCAGTCTACATACACTGTAAAAATGACCGTTTATATATTAAACGCAAAATTAAACGCATTTTTGTCCTACGGTTTTAAACACCGTTATGTGTTTATTATCTAAACGCTGTTTATGTTATAAACACGTGTTTACCAGCTAAACAATGGTTTAGTTTCTAAGCGGTATTGGTGTTTACAATCTAATCACTTAACGCTGTTTAACAAATGACTCACCTTGTTAAACACAAAACCCTGTTTACATTATCACTTGTGTTTAGGAACTAAACATCTTGCGATTAAACAAAACCAATGAAGAACTGACAATTTTGTACCCATGAATTGTTGTAGATATATAGATTGGTCTGTCTCTGCCCCTTGTGTTTAGGAACTAAACATCTTGCGATTAAACAAAACCAATGAAGAACTGACAATTTTGTACCCATGAATTGTTGTACATATATAGATTGGTCTGTCTCTGCCCCTTGTGTTTAGGAACTAAACATCTTGCGATTAAACAAAACCAATGAAGAACTGACAATTTTAGACCCATGAATTGTTGTACATATATAGATTGGTCTGTCTCTGCCCCTTGTGTTTAGGAACTAAACATCTTGCGATTAAACAAAACCAATGAAGAACTGACAATTTTGTACCCATGAATTGTTGTACATACATGTATATAGATTGGTCTGTCTCTGCCCCTTGTGTTTAGGAACTAAACATCTTGCGATTAAACAAAACCAATGAAGAACTGACAATTTTGTACCCATGAATTGTTGTACATATATAGATTGGTCTGTCTCTGCCCCTTGTGTTTAGGAACTAAACATCTTGCGATTAAACAAAACCAATGAAGAACTGACAATTTTGTACCCATGAATTGTTGTACATATATAGATTGGTCTGTCTCTGCCCCTTGTGTTTAGGAACTAAACATCTTGCGATTAAACAAAACCAATGAAGAACTGACAATTTTGGACCCATGAATTGTTGTAGATATATAGATTGGTCTGTCTCTGCCCCTTGTGTTTAGGAACTAAACATCTTGCGATTAAAAAAACCAATGAAGAACTGACAATTTTGTACCCATGAATTGTTGTACATATATAGATTGGTCTGTCTCTGCCCCTTGTGTTTAGGAACTAAACATCTTGCGATTAAACAAAACCAATGAAGAACTGACAATTTTAGACCCATGAATTGTTGTACATATATAGATTGGTCTGTCTCTGCCCCTTGTGTTTAGGAACTAAACATCTTGCGATTAAAAAAACCAATGAAGAACTGACAATTTTGTACCCATGAATTGTTGTACATACATGTATATAGATTGGTCTGTCTCTGCCCCTTGTGTTTAGGAACTAAACATCTTGCGATTAAACAAAACCAATGAAGAACTGACAATTTTAGACCCATGAATTGTTGTACATATATAGATTGGTCTGTCTCTGCCCCTTGTGTTTAGGAACTAAACATCTTGCGATTAAACAAAACCAATGAAGAACTGACAATTTTGTACCCATGAATTGTTGTACATATATAGATTGGTCTGTCTCTGCCCCTTGTGTTTAGGAACTAAACATCTTGCGATTAAATAAAACCAATGAAGAACTGACAATTTTGGACCCATGAATTGTTGTACATATATAGATTGGTCTGTCTCTGCTCCTTGTGTTTAGGAACTAAACATCTTGCGATTAAACAAAACCAATGAAGAACTGACAATTTTGGACCCATGAATTGTTGTACATATATAGATTGGTCTGTCTCTGCCCCTTGTGTTTAGGAACTAAACATCTTGCGATTAAACAAAACCAATGAAGAACTGACAATTTTGGACCCATGAATTGTTGTACATATATAGATTGGTCTGTCTCTGCCCCTTGTGTTTAGGAACTAAACGTCTTGCGATTAAACAAAACCAATGAAGAACTGACAATTTTAGACCCATGAATTGTTGTAGATATATAGATTGGTCTGTCTCTGCCCCTTGTGTTTAGGAACTAAACATCTTGCGATTAAACAAAACCAATGAAGAACTGACAATTTTAGACCCATGAATTGTTGTACATATATAGATTGGTCTGTCTCTGCCCCTTGTGTTTAGGAACTAAACATCTTGCGATTAAACAAAACCAATGAAGAACTGACAATTTTAGACCCATGAATTGTTGTAGATATATAGATTGGTCTGTCTCTGCCCCTTGTGTTTAGGAACTAAACATCTTGCGATTAAACAAAACCAATGAAGAACTGACAATTTTGTACCCATGAATTGTTGTAGATATATAGATTGGTCTGTCTCTGCCCCTTGTGTTTAGGAACTAAACATCTTGCGATTAAACAAAACCAATGAAGAACTGACAATTTTAGACCCATGAATTGTTGTACATATATAGATTGGTCTGTCTCTGCCCCTTGTGTTTAGGAACTAAACATCTTGCGATTAAACAAAACCAATGAAGAACTGACAATTTTGTACCCATGAATTGTTGTAGATATATAGATTGGTCTGTCTCTGCCCCTTCATACAGCAGACTGTGAACGTACCTTTTCACATCAAAACCAAATACTGACAAAATTGAGGAATAGGTTAGGCAGTGGCATCTCAGACAAACTCCATCGAGTAGTACGGCTCCATGGACAGGGCCTACAAAATCATGACTTTCAGAAAAAATTGAACACATGGCATGCAAAGAAATCTCGCAAGATACCCTTGAAGCATTGAGTCACTTAGTGGTTGATTGAAATAAAAATGAACACCCACGATTTGCATGAATTGTTTATTTTTGCCTTCAATAAAATCTATTGCCTATTGGCTTTGCAATATCGGGAAGTTGGGCCCATCATATTTTCAGATGGCTTACTTTGTTTCTAATTGGAACATTGACCAAACTGTCTTTCCCAATCACTGAACATGTGCAGAAACTGCACATACTTTTTGGACTTTTGTTCGGTGAAGGCTTCATCTAAAACCAATTGTTGTACTAGGCCAAGAATCTGTGAATATTGTCTTGGATAAGATAACCATGCAATGTAGTACACAGCCAGCAAATGGAAGACTGACTTTCTGAATGTTGGGCATGATGAGAGGTTAACATTATCAGCTTTTACAAGAGCATGTGTTACTGCATCATTGTTCACAAACACCATCAGGCTTGGGGAATGTTCGTTTGACACACTGTTTACAGCTTTGTCTACTTCGTCAGGTGAAAGATCCTGAAAAATAAATTGATACAAACAATACAACAACCCCAATGAGTTTGTTTGGCATAGTATACATTTTCCAAAATATATAAAGCGTATATGTATATATTTGCTTTCATTATTATGACCCCTAAATATGAGAGGACATAGGCATTCCTCGTGTCTAAGTGTGCCTCAATTTGCTGTACAGAACTGAATAGTTCTTAGAACACAAGAATTCCGTGGATTGTAATCTGGATTCACACTGAATACATTTCTAGGTTTGTCAGCCCCAATCCGTGCTACTGGGTTTAATCGTACTCCCGTATGTCGCGTTTTGATATAGAGCAAACAACTGAACCGTTCATAGTGAACATGAAACTAACAAGGTACGTATTATACGGCACAGATTGTTTGGTTCTTGTACGTCAGTTTGTGCTGTGGACCATGTCGGGAGTTTCCTCTGTTTAAGATTGTGTGTTCTCTCGTTATAATGATGCATTGTGATATGTAAGGATACGCAATGCGATAGGCAGCGATAGGTTTGATATTATCGTACCCTATTTATCCGGCACGGGCACATTAATAGTTTTGAGGGATGAACACTCATATATCGCATCCACAATTTGAGCTTGTATTATACGGGGGATTTAAAACTACGCTATGTGCATGGTTCTCCCAGTTAGTGGTTAAATAGCTGGCACATTACGCCGAAAACCCGAGTTCGATTCCCAAAGGCAATTGAGTGCGGTGTGTCCCATCGTGAGTGCCCCACCAAACACTGGCGTTTACAGGCCTGTAGGCTGTAGCCCTGGGATTTCATGGGGTGAGAGGTGTTGGACCGTGGTGGTGGTGTAGAGGGTTGGGGAGCAATCATGAGCCAGTATTACTAAGAGGTGTGTGTTGGGGGTTGAAGGCGGAATTGGGGGTAAGTCGACCCTCAGCAGACATTTACCCCTCGCGTTGTATGACCTGACAAGTGTAAAGATGATATTTGCATGACGATCGATATAGCATCTGTTCCTCAAATATATGTATAGAATATTAACTGAATGACACATAAGACTGGATGGATTAATTTTAGGAGCAACTGCTCGAAATTGTTTTTCCAG